ATCATACAAGTAAGTTTTCATAATGGTTATATATTCGTTCTTAACAACCTAGGGGGTGATGCGGCTGCCCCACCTCCTTCCCCCTTCTCCCCTTCTTTCCCCCTTCCCCTCCCCGCTCCCCTCCCCCTCCCCTCCCCCTCTTCCTCCCCCTCCCCCCGGATGCTGCGGCTCTAGAGAGAGTCAAGCAGACGAACCGGATTCGAAAATCAACAACTACGAGAAAAGAATCCAATGCTTCGAGCTTAAGGGATGCTGTAATTTTTTTACCGGACGGCGGAGCAGCGGCGGCCGCTGGGTCGATTCAATCGCTTAAGTTACGGTCTCGTCAAATTGCGCCGAGCACTCGCCGTAAATCGCGCTTCATTTTACCTCGGTTTTATTTTGAAAACTCGTGTAATTTCTCGCGGACTTGATGATCAGCTGCGACTCCGTGGCGCAACGGTAGCGCGTCTGACACTAGATCAGAAGGTGACGTTTTAAATCAAAATTATATTCTATTCCGCTGATTAATTTTTGGCGGAAAGTCACACACACACACACACTGTGTGTGTGTGTGTGTGTGTGTGTGTGTGTGTGTGTGTGTGTGTGTGTGTGTGTGTGTGTGTGTGTGTGTGTGTGTGTGTGTGTGTGTGTGTGTGTGTGTGTGTGTGTGTGTGTGTGTGTGTGTGTGTGTGTGTGTGTGTGTGTGTGTGTACGCGCGCGTGTGTGTGTTGTGTGTATATACGTATGTGTATATTAAATTTTATTTATTTATTCATTTATTCATTCGTTCATTTATATAACAACTTTCGCACACACTCACTTTAATATTACTACCTAATACATAATGGATCTACTTCACAGCAATAGTAAATGACATCCACGCTAAAACATTCACACATGGGATAATTTTGTTTGCGTTAGGAGATTGCTGATAATTGTGTTTTTGAAGCATTAATACATGACTTAGAACAATCACTCTATTGTCCATCTGATAAAATAAATATAGCTATTTATAGATTTTAGGTTGTAAGCCTACGCACGTGAAACGCGGGAAATATAGTCATAGTTTTAATTGAATAAAAAACATGTTAACCCGAAGATTGTTATTCGCAGAAAATAATTAGCGCTCAGAAAAACGACAAAATTAATGAAAAGCACATATATGCATCGTGTAAATATTAACCTAGTGTAATTATTTTCCGGCAATCACCTATAGTAAAATATTTAACCAGTCCGTTATTCTGCGCGTTAGCCTGTTGCTAACCAAATAGGAATAATTGTAATGAACTCGAGAACTAACACTCTAGAAAAGGTCCACGGTTGCCACAACACGACGTTCACTTGCATTTTCCCCCGGAGCATTTATTAAGATGCATACGTGCCCAATACATCCACGATTTATCCAACACAAGAGAAAGTATTTCCGCATCTTTGCGCAATAAGGTACGCCTACACAGGCGGCACAATTGGGTTTCTGGTCCTTAGTCCGCGAGCACCTTTCACAGTAATTATCATTAGCCCCGTTTAAATGTAACCGAGTTAGTAACCCGTAAGAAACATTTGAAAACCATGGCGCGTAACTATAATGGAAAGAAAACAAATGGCAACTATAATAGTGCCATGTTTGAACTCGGGCGAGCAATCGAAGTGCACAGCGATCGTTGAGCGACGGGTCACGCAAGCTAGATGGAGTTTCAATCATGTTGACGATGACCTACAACTTCGTTTGCTTTCTTTGAGTTTGAGGAAGAAAGTACGAAATGATACTCCAAACGCCAAACTGTAAGATTTGTGCGTAAATAATTGAAGTACTAATTATGTCTGCGGTCTACAGCGCAGTAAGTTTAAGCCGTAACAATGTAAAGATTGCTCATTGACCGATGTGCGTTTCTTAGCAATGTATTTTTGGAGCGTGTGCGCGATAGCGGACGTAGACTAGTTGTGGCTGCGAACAATAGTTACAATAGGTGCGTTGACATAGTTATACGCATACCAAAGTGTTTGAAAACATCCATCATTCTGATTCACTTTGGTGCAAATCGGAAGAGCTGTTTGTAATTTTTTTCATGTATCGTACTACTAATAGCTTAAAACTATAGAATACTACCAAACGCTGAGGTTGGTTCCGAATAACTGTGTGAACATAACAAACAGCTAGCGCTTTACAGTTATTCCATCATAATATATTTTCTTTTTTTGCGGTTTGCATATACATATACAGTGGGGGAGAGTTTTACTATGTTGAAAATACGGCTATTCGTGTCAATAGTGCTGCAATTAGACAAGAGTATTGTCCTATTGTGCTTCGCCCGGCTTCTAAATGACAGAGTGCTACAAGGATCTGTGGCTTGCAGTGCTGGTGACAGATGGCTCGCGTGGATGACAGATCTGGGTCGCTGTAGTAAGCTGAACAGTTTAAACGGATTGCTTTCTTGGTGACACTCGATGCTGCGCACTGTGTTCACTTGCGATTTAAGTCGGCTGCCTATAGTTCGGCTCGTGGAAAAAAAAAACTAAATCAAATGTCCAAAATAGGGTGAATTTTAAAATGCATTCACAGTCGCGTGGGGCCATCATTCGAGACAAGGTCGTTGAAATCAAATAGTGTGCAATGCTAATCCATGGTTTAGTGGTTAGATATAAATGCAGTATTTACTAGTTAAGATCACATTACTCAGTGGGCTTCGTGGCTGTACCACGAACGGGATCTCGTTGCATCGTTATAAAACCGTGACTATACACTATTACATTATGGCAGTATATTACAGCTTTACAAAAACCTTGGTACGACTTAATGAAATATAAATAGAATAACGCTCTATAATATCGCATATACATACTACGACTCTTATATATTACTTAATTACATTCCCTCACTGTGATACCACTTCGTTGTATATATAGCATGACACGATTTTATTACACATCTACTTTCCTACACATCTACATCTACTGCTTCTTTCTACTCAGTATTGAGATATCAGCATTGCGATCCACCTGTTGACTGTATGCGCGTGCGAAACGGGCAGACGAAGGAAATTCACCGTTTTAACAGCTAGAGAACAACAGCTAGAGAACAATATCTAGAGAACAGCAGCTAGCAAACAACAGCTAGAGAACAACAGCTAGAGAACAACCGCTAGAGAACAACAGCTAGAGAACAACAGCTAAAGAACAGCAGCTAGCAAATAACAGATAGATAACAACGGCTAGAGAGAGAACACCGTGCCCTCCCGCAAAGAGCACCGGGCGGCCAGCAACGTATCTGATCATCTGATCATGCGCGTTTTTATCAGCACTTAGTTTGTTCGATCTTTTAATTTTGTCAGTGCTATATGTTTTAGATAAGTTGACGGGTGTAGAATGCGCTAAAGTTTCATTGGTAGGGGTTTATTTGCGGGGTGTGGCGGTTCCAATGGAGAGTTGGGCTCGTGCGTTCAGCCGATGCAGCCCCACCTGATCCGTATCTGTGTCTGTACCATCGAAGGTTACGGTCTTGGACAAGACATCGAGGATTATGGGAATAAAACAGCATTCGGCGTCAATGTTCGTACACAGGCTACAAAACACCCTTATTATGTCACTCTGCGACGACAACTATGTACTGTGAAACACCCATGCGGACGTCGACTAAGCAATTAGCCCCATTCCTGATCTTGTACAGGCGTAGTAATAATACAGGCTCATTGCTATTTAATTGACCGCTGAACCCCCAGTTTTGAGTCCGCTGTAGAGATAATGCAATATTGATCTGACACAAGTAATGTAATTAGATAAATATTTATGTTTTAAATAACCGCCATTATTATTGATGGCGTGATATTTCCATATTATAATGAGCAACACGTCGCTGCCTTTCGCTGTCCTCGATGCGGATGGTTGCGCATGCGCGTTAAACCCAACTTTATTCTAATGCCAGAGTGCCTTGCGCTGATATTTGCCAGGCAAAGCAACTCGCATTCAAGGTTATAGCGAGAAAGACGCGCCAATGTGTAATATAACGGATATAGGATTGGGTGCGTTCGTGTTGTGTGCAGTAAAGTCAGACAGATGATAAACGCACATTAAAATGCGAAACGATGTAATGATTATATTACGGATTAGTTCACGATTTGATTCTCTCGTACATGAGTGAGCTTGTTTAAAGCTCAGCTAAACTCACGTAATTACAGTAATTGAAATTATATTAGTATTATCTCTAGCTTGTATAGTGGTATTTAATTAACCTTATCAACACCGTTGCTTACTCTGGTTTCTCTCACCACCACTTCTCTCTCCCCGCCCTCTTTTCTCTATCTCTCTCTCTCTCTCTCCTTCACTTACTCCTTCTCTTACACTTTCTCCTCGAGATTTCGAGATTGCGGAGGGCGCTCGAATGTGCGTTCGTGCGTGCGGGTTTGCGTAGAATGGGGCTCGTTTTATCAAACATTGACCACTATACACTGGCGAGCTAGCTAGGTGACCTATATCGAAAGTATACTGAGGCATTAGCCGTCAAAACACAACCAGTGCTTATTCACGAATAGGTATGAAATTTGGCTGTCAAGCGTTAGTTTCGCTGACTCTGAAATTGGGTGTAACGTGAAACGCGCCATTTATGTGCAATTCCCTGTAAAGACCAAAAATGCAAAAAAATTCGCCGCGCAAAAATTCAGCCTTGTGATGAAGGCCCCCCTTACCGGCACGAATGCCGGCCGGAGACGCTATTTGCATATAGTCATAGACTCTCCTTTTCTGGACGACGCCTAATTTACACCGCCTTCCTTCTATTGTTATTCTAATCGCGATGTACAGTGTTAGGCTGTAAACATCGAAGAACGACCTGGAAAACCTGGCCCATATTTTGATCTACAGTCGCAGCATATATGTTCGTTATAATTGTCGATGCGTGTGAATTTTACGGTGATTTTTTTCTCCCTTTGATTAAATCCACGTTTGTTGTTTTAACAGGCCTGCTCGTATGGCGGGTGGGTGCGATATGCGATCAGGCGCATCAAATGTTTGATGCGGATTCGGAAAGTTGTTTACACTTCTACATGTGTAAGTCGGATGGGAACCACCACCGTATGCATTGCCAACCCGGCCTTTACTGGAACCAACGTGCGCGCACGTGCGACTGGCCGTTCAATGCGAAGTGTAAAGGTAATAGCGCATACGTGTTACCATAAGTGCCTATCTCTCTCTCTCTCTCTCTCTCTCTCTCTCTCTCTCTCTC